CAGCATGGCCGAGCAAAAGCCCACTGATACCTTATCTCCAACTTGGTGGCTGAGAATTTACCTGCTGTTCTTTTTATTTGGCAAGGCTTCCAGGGGTGCTTGGTGCTGGATCTGCTGATCAGATCTGTCTAGACCATGGCAAGCCTTTCCATTTGAATCTGTGTGTTCTTAAAAAAAAGAGAGAAAGAAAAGAAAACCAAACCAATTTCCCCCTCTTTGTTCTCTTTTCTGCCTTGAGAATTTCTAATGAGAGTGCAAGGCTTCCAGGGGTACTTGGTGCTGGATCTGCTGATCAGATCTGTCTAGACTATGGCAAGCCTTTCCATTTGAATCTGTGTGTTCTTAAAAAAAGAGAGAAAGAAAAGAAAACCAAACCAATTTCCCCCTCTTTGTTCTCTTTTCTGCCTTGAGAATTTCTAATGAGAGGAGTTTGGACGCCCAAGATCTCCCCGCCAATGGCAACACTTCCCGACCTCTCCTTTTCTTCCTGTGAGCTCTGTGCTGTCTCCCTAACCTTACTCCAGATTCCTGGCTTCCATTTCTGCCCATTGTACCATAAGATGCATCCTCTATATCTGAAAATGTGACTCACTAGCTCTGTGCGGCTAGAGGAAAGGCTGGCAGCCGCCTTTGGCTTCCCAGCCTAAGGAGATCCACCTGGGCTCTGGGAGCACCTGTGGCCTGCTCCACAGCCCCTTGGACTACTGCATGAATTCAAGTCTCTCTGTTCCCTGGTTTTCCGTGATGAGTACGGTGTTTTCTTAATTTTTTTTTTGAGCATGATGCAATTTAGGATTACTATGATCATTATTTTATTCTCCCCTGAATTATTTTTGCCCTCCGAATCAGGCATGGCACATGCATGTCTCTGTTTTCCTCTTCCGCCCGGCTTTCTGCAGACATTGGATAATCCCGCCTCTTGGGTCCTGCTGCTGGAAGGGAAGGGGAGGTGCTCAGCCAGTGGTCAGTAATGGGTCAGGGTAAAAGAATGATCAATGTGCAGTAACGAGTCAGTGCACAGGAAGTGGCCACTGCATAAGAACTGGTGGTCAGTGTGCAGTAAACGATGAGCACAGTAAATGGCCAGAGTGTAGTGATATGTCAGTGCATAATAAACAGACCGTGTGCAGTAAGTGGTCACTGCCCAGGAACCAAGCAGTGCACAGTAACTGGTCAGCATGCCAGAAATGATCAGTACATAGTTAAGTGATCAGGATGTAGTAATTTGTCAGTGCACAATAAATGATCAGTGTGAAGTTACTGGTCAGTATCCAGTAACAGATCAAGATGTAGTCATTGACCAGTGGGCAGCATGGATCCCTGCATGTTCTGGTGGGCTGCCCATCTCCTCTGGGAACCGACAGGATGTGTGCACAGATGGGCCTATCTGGATGTGGTCACAGAGCTGATGGGTGAACAGCGCCCCTGGGATGGACTGGTCTGCTACATTTCATGCCTGGGGGACTGTGCCGACTGGACATGCTGGCCTTTGTGGGGTGAGGACCCTTCCTCCCTCCATTCCACTCTGGTTCTCTCTGTAACTCTGAGGGAAGGGCTCATGGGCATAACTGACTAATCACTGAATCTATGGAACCCATCTCGGAATAATACAAACATACCCAAGATTACTGAGAAAACCGATTATACAAAATGCAGTTATCAAACGTTAAAAAGCCCATTTTGATATAGGGGCATGCTAGCTTCTTGATTAAGCCATTACATTAAAAAAGCCTGGCTGTGGGAGGACTGCAATTTGAAGTAATGGTGAATGTAAGTTCTGTAACCTGATATGAAAATACCTGTGATTTCTGATGGTGACAAAGTCAGTTATAGCTAAACTATTGTGTTTACTGCCTACATGCCTAATTGAAGGCAGTGTTAACTTTCAGTTAGAAACATAGGGAATAAAACATGCCCCCCCCAGTCTGGGCTCCCATGCCTCAGACATGTGGGGACCGTTGGGGCAGACACCCTCTTTGGACAGCATGCTCCGGGAAACTCACCTAAGCCCATGGGCAGCACAGCAGCAGTTGCTGGGTAGAGGGGCTCACCTATGCAGCATCTTTGGGAATGTAGAGAACTGAGTACCCTCCAAGCGGGCGGGGGCTTGGGGTAGTGTCAACCCTTTGGGATCTCGGTGCTGTCACCAGAGGAAGGGGATGTTCTGTCCAGCGCTCAGCTCCAGGATCCCTCTGGGCTGCAGCTCTATTTGGCGCTCCCGCGGTTTTATGACTGTTAAAGGGTTGTTCCCTGCTTGTCCGCTGCTCCCCAGGCCTGTGCTTGTCCCCTCCTCCAGTCCACTTGAGCTAAATGCCCAGTGTGTTCCCTGGCCATCTATGAACTCGCTTCTAGGCTCTGGACACAGGGTTCTCTGCTATTTGTCTGGGGTTTTTCTTAAAAGTACCAGCAATGCTGTCTGCACGTCCCAACAGGAGATCTTGGCACCTGGGAGGACGGTGTTTGGGGGTCCTTAGAAGTGGAGGCACACAAATTCCACTTGATGGAAATGCCTCCCTTTAGGAAATTTCTTTCCTTTTCAAATGCAGTTTACAGAAAGATCCTTCACATGGTTAGTTCTTTTTAAGAGTGCCTCTCAATAAATGTAAGATACAGCTCTATTTCCAAGATTTCAGGTAACGTACACCTGATGGGGGACAAAGCAAAAGTGGGCCTCCTCTCCGGACTGAGGTTCCCTGGCAGCCAGGCCTGTGCTTGTGTGAGGGCCAACCCCCAAGGCCCAGAGCCCTCTGAGATGCAGCACCCTGTTCCAGGCGAAGCAGGCGGGCTAGCAACCTTGGTGGAGGTCAGGCTTCCTCGACACTGGGCAGGATGTTGAGGCTCTGCATGGATGGCTTTGCTGGAAATGTCTAGGGGTGCAGAATGGGGCCAGAAGGAAGTGCACAAGCCACAAGTGGGGTGTGCTCAGCCCCTCCCAGGGCTGATCCCAAATTGCTTAGGTGCTTGGCTGAGGCAAGGTTGGACCATGCTCCAGGTAGGGGGACCCTGACTGACCCCTTTCTCACCTCACTGTCTTCAGGGGGTGGGGGAAGGGTGATGGCAGCCAGAGACAAATTGCTTTCTATCAGGCCTTCTGGCCAGGTGTGGGTACAATGGAGTCTGGCCAGGCAGACAGCCTTAAGCTTGGCAGCTAGTTTTGACTCAGCCCTTAATGGTGCCAGGCACCCTGCCTCTGTAAGCCTCAGTTTCCCCAGAGGCATACTGAGAAACTTGATCGGTCTGACCTCTAAGAGCCCTTCAGGCCTGGCCTCTCTTCTTGCTCGGCACATACACATCTGTGGGAGATGTGTCTTCCTGTATGTGAAGCAGGTGGGCCCCAGGCTCCTGGCACTCCACAAGGGCCAGGCGCAGGTCCCTGGTTCCTACCTAAGGCTCTGGGCTGTGCGTTTGAAATTCAATTCAGACAAAAATGCCTCCAGGCCTACCCTGCTGGTCCAGGTGCTGCCAGCATCCAGGGACCCTCTTAAAAGGACAGTACCGCCTCCGGCTCTGGGGTGTCAGAAACAAATACCGACTCTTTCTCCAGGAAGAATGGAGGCAGCGGCAGCGGCAAGCTCACCGCCTTCCTCTGGAGCAGGCGGTGGGCACCCACCGTGGGCCCACACTCTTTGGTGTCCCGCAGCTGGCTGGAAACAGGCACACAGCAGGCCCAGGATGCACTGTGGTGGTAAACAGCTGCGCTTTTCAAAACCCTCCGAACCCCTGGCCGTGAGCGTGTCGGCCCAAGGCAGTAGCTTTCCTCACCCCGGTTCCCCATTCCCTCCAGAACTTGGGGGAAGACCAGGTGGGGAGCGGGGCGCGCATCCCTGCTCCCCGCGCCAGAGCAGCCCGCTCTGCAGTGAGGCCCCTGCGCACCTAGGTGGAGCCCGACCCGCAGTTTTCGGCTGGACCAGCCCCACCTGACCCGCCGGCGCGCCAGACGAGGGCGCTGCCGGACGCCCGGGGTCCCCGGGGTCCCCTCCGCGGCCCAGTGCGCAGCATCGGCGGCTCCGCGGCCCGGACGCAGCGCACACGGGCGCCCGACTCCGAGGCAGCGCGGCCTGGG